TGAATGATATTTTAGTTAAAAAAACATGAATGGTTAGACCCTAATGGTATAGTTATATTTCAGAATGTCATAGTTTTGAATCATAAACTTTTATATTGACATTATATATGCAAACTTGTAATACTATGTATGTTTGTTTTATACAGTATATTGGTATCGGGCATGAAGAAAGCAACGCTGATAATAATAAAAATATTTGATGTCATTGATTTTGTCATGAACACTGTGATTAATTAGATATAGACAATGTTCGAAATCGCGCTAGGCGCTAGCCGCGCGGCGACCTCGGGCCTAGCGATTTGTTGAAAAATCGGGATAAACTCGGGATATACTCGGGGCCTAGTTTTTAGCCAGTTTTTAGTTTTAAATATACAAACAATTCATCAAATACCAAGTTAGATTATATAACATAATTGTTGTTTCTTCAATCACATCTAATACAAAAAAAAAAGATTAAATCCACAGACAAGAATCACCAAAAGATATATAGTTTTGATCATGAGAAGAAACAAAAGATATTAAGGATTGTATCTTTTAATCCTATTCGTCTTCATTCATTGATCAGCAAAATATATAAACTTGATCTTGTAGTGGTCTTAGAGATGTGATAGAAGTTAGAACTTGATATGTAGAAACCTGAAATGAGAAAGACAAAGACAAGCATTCAAATCAAACAAACAACATAAAGTTCATAAGAAAACAAAGAGAAGAGACATGATCATAGAATTATCTTACCCCTAATTTACTGAGGAATTTGAGAGTCACGAAAGACCGGATCTTCTTGGTATACGTCCGGTTCAAACTCCATATCAATAATATCTTCTTCTTCAGACTCGAAGTCGTCATCATAGAGTTCTCTTACCCTTGGAGCTTGGGTAGTAAGCACAAAATGGACATCATTATCTAACTCTTCAATACGGTCAACAAGCCAATCTCCCACAGTATCTTCATTACCATCATCTAAGATCACATCAACATTGCTTTCCCTAATTTTTTTATGCTTGTCAAAAAGCCTTGCATTAAACTGAACATAGACTAGACTGTTGAGACGGTTCACATCTAATCTATTTCTTTTCTTCGTGTGGATCTGCAACATGAGTTCAACCATTTATTATACACACTAATAGACCCATAAAACAAAAATCAAAGAAGCAGTAGACTAACCCCTTCAAAGCTGCTCCAATTTCTTTCACAGCCAGAGGAACTAGAGGTCAAACCAAGGATTCTAGTAGCAAGTTTCTGCAAGTGTGGTACAGCACATCCGTATGTTGCCCACCAGTTCCCTGTCATTAAACAAGTTAAACTATCGAAATGACAATTGATCAAATAAAAAAGAAATAAGTCAAAACAGACCTGGATCGAACTTATCATCCTTCTTTTCACATCCTTTTAATGCTAACATTCTACCAAAAGGACCGCTTTTATTCTTGTAAAGAGTAAGCTCATGATTGACAACCAAGTCTTGTTTCTCAAATTCCCCGTGATAGAAAGTTTCCACACACTTGATGAACCCTTCTGAAACCGCTAAGTCATACTGGATAGTAGGATCTTTGTAGAAATAATATGGGTTGAGGAAGTAAGCAGCCATATGCAAAGGAGAATCCAACCTTCCTGTCATTTTTTCATCAATAATCCTGAATATAGGTTCATAATTTTTCTCCAAATGGTCAGTAGCTTCCTTGATAGACTTCTTAGCTTCCAAAAGCTCACCATAAACAAACCCTAAAGATGGTATCTTCTCTCCATCAGCCAACCGAAGAACTTTCACCATAGGGTTGAATATTTTCAGAATAACCATGACACTATTCCAAAACGCAAAACTCAGCACTGTATCAGATGTAAGCTTACCCTTCACAGACTTGGAATGCTTACAGTCATGCCACTCATCACTATTAAACATGGTCTTTAGTTGCGCCTTCTTATCATAAAGACTTTGTAGTGTGAGGAAGCATGTTGCAAACCTTGTTGCTCCTGGCCTAACAATATCCCTCTTCCTTGTATATGTTCTCATCATTGACAATGTTGTATGATGAGCATAAACAAATATGGTGACAGCCTTTGCTTGTTCAATAACTTTAGAAAACCCAGGCAACTTAGAAATCCCTTCAAGCATTAAATCCATGGTGTGAGCAGCGCATCCAGTCCAAAAGATTCTTGGCCTCTTCTCTTTAAGAAATTTTGCAGCTGCGACATTGTTGGTTGCATTATCCGTGACCACTTGCACAACCTTCTCAGCCCCTAAATCTTCTATACACTTGTCAATATAGCTGAAGATGTACTCACCCGTGTGAGAATCTTTTGAAGCATCCTTTGATGACAGAAAACAAGTCCCTCCTCTTGAGTTAACACACAAATTCATGATGCTTCTTCTCTTCATATCAGTCCATGAATCTGTCATCACCGAGCATCCATCCCTGTCCCATTCTTCTTCTAGTGCCTTTAACTTCTCTTTTGTCCTCTGTTTTTCTTCATTCAATAATGGTTCTCTCAACTGATACTGAGTTGGAAGCATCCACCCTGGCCCAAACTGTCCTAAAGCTTCACAGAATAGTCTAAAGGACTCATTGTCAATTGCGCTGAATGGAATATTTGACTGATAAATCCACCGAGCACAATATTGGTGTACAACATGGGTCTTCTCTTTTGATATAGCATCATGGATGCTCTGTTGACGTGTTTGACCAGCCAAAGAAGCTTCAGGGTTGATGACAGTAGCAAACTGATCAAGAGGACCTTGGAAATGAGGAGTTTTAAGAGTTCCAAGTTCTCTTTCTAGCTCCTCAACATTGCTATCCTTGTTTATGTTAACCTCTGCCCTTATAGCTTCCTCATGCTTCCTTTTATTATTTTTCTTGTTTTTTGCTTCCATTATTGCTTTCTTACACTTTTCTTGATCTTCCTTTGAGGACACAGGACAGGCTGAGACATTACCTTTCACATGACCAATGTGCTCTTTCATTCTGAAGATGCCACCAGAAAACGCTTTGCCACATAACTTACATTTCACTTTGTCCGGAAGTCGTGGATCACAGAGATAACCAAACTCCCATCCTACATCATTTGAGTTTCATTTTAATTGTGGAGAAGTATCTGTTGCTGGTTTGTCCATTGTTTTGTAAGCTGAAACATCAATAAAAAAAAAAAAACAAAATCATTACAACACTTCCGAAGTCTTCATTGCTAAAATACAAACATCACTACTAGTCAAGTTCCATTAAAGTCAGTTTCCATTAAAATACAAACCTCACTACTACCAAACATTATAAAATTCATAACTTTAACAAAAAAAATAGTTTTTTTAACCTTATTACCAACATTATAGGGTTGGTGATGGTGAAATCAAATAATATAGCAAGAAGCTTGGTGGGTGATACGAAAAATAGTAAAATTCTTAACAACAGAAGAGAAACATAAAGCTTATTACCGTGAAGAGTGAAATAACTTCGATAAGTATGAGCTCTTGATTCACTTGGTCTCACTGGATTGCCGTCAGATACGTAGAAGATAACTAGGGTTTTTAACTTTTTTTATCTCAAGAGTCAAAACAAAGAGATAACATTTTCACATTTTATCTGAATGGGCCCAAAATAAATTTGGGTCAAACATCAAAACCCACATAATAAAGAAACCGTATTATTTATTAGACGCCGAGTTATGAACTTCCACGCTCTACTCGGGCTAAAATCGGACTGCCGTATAATGTCACCGAGTTGGGCCTATTCGCCACGGTCACCATCCGTTTCACGTAAACTCGGACGATTACGCGCCTAGGCGCCCGAGTTTTCGAACAGGGGATATAGATGTAATATATATTTTAGCGGAAAAGTTATATTCATATTTTTTCTTTGCTCATATATAATGTATACGTGAATTTATTTGGTTTAAATAAAAGCAATGGGTCCTTAAAATGTAGGAAGTAAAATGGAAGTTATAATAAACTGAAAATTACTCATATTTATATGTAAACTAATGGCAGTTAGTTAGTAAAACGTTGGAATATATAACTGGACTGAACAATAGACAAAAATAATTTGAAAAAAATAATTTTCTTTTGATTGCTAATATCTTCTTTAGCTTTGATTACATGTCTGCAATAGACAAAAATAATTTGTAAAAACTGAACAATAGTAAGATTGACGCTTAATATTTTTCCTTATTCAGATTTGCAGCATAAATTATGAAAGTTAATGAGAAACTAACGTAGAGAAATAAACAGATAAGAAGAAAGCCGTCAAAATCAATTTGTAAAATAGTTTGTTGTTGAAATGATTTAAAGTTTATTCGAATTAATCCTAAGCAGTTTTAGGTGCAAAAGGTGGGGATCATGAGTGAAAAAGGTGGGGGGCGGGGGTAATGGTTTAAAGACTTGTGCAATTTTATTTTTCATCGTAGTAATTTTTACGGAGAATATGCTGAATAACCAAAATCATAAGTGTAATTAAGTATATGAGTTTATTAAATGATTAGAAATGATTGATCAACTAATATAAATTATACTCCCTTCATTTCAGAATACTTTCATTCTAGGCTTAAAATTTTGTCACAAATTAAATGACGTTTTAGAGTTTCGAGGTAAAATTTATTAGTTTATATAATATTCTATTTTCTATTGGTTGAAAAATGGTTAAGTGTATAGGTAACTGTGTTTTTATTTTGAAATATGTAAAATTAAATATTTTTTTAATCTGTGTGAAAAATATAGAATGATAATTAAATTACGTAAAATGGAGGGAATGGTAAACTTTAATATATGTAAATTAAACATATTCTCTCTCACGGTTTCCTAGTTAATAAAATACCAAAATTCTGAGAATATTAATTTATAGAGTTTGTACTGGATATTGTAAATAAATAAATATGTTGAACTGTTTTGGCAAATATAAACAAAAAAAAGAATAAATAACATTTATCTTTTTAGTAAAATAAAAATAAGGAAAAGCCCTAATAACTACTTATTAGACCTAACTCTCATGGGTAAAAGTTACAGTTGTAGAACATACATGGTCGCAACTCCGGCGTCATTGCTCCCCGGTACTCTGACAATGAAACCCATTGTTCAAGCGCCATGGTGAGTTTTTTCAATCGAACTTTGAGTGCTGGTAATATCTGAATTATGGTTTAGCCTTTGTGTTCTTACGTTTTATAACCCACATGATCAGTTCACAGCTTTCACTAAATATACGCAATATTCGAAACATATATATGTCTAGCTCCATTATTGTAATATCCCTTGATGATTAACAATGCATTCTTCTTCTTCTTTTAATTGTCGGATACAGTATAAAGGCTAGAGAAAATAATGGATCAAAGAAGAAGAAGAACAAGTGTACTACAGGAGATTTAAATATTCCTTCAGAGCTCTTGCAGGAGATACTATCCTACCTCGGACCAAAAGACAACAAAAGAGCTTCCCTTGTGTGCAAGGCATGGTGTAAAGCAGCTGTTTATGTCAGAAAGTTCCTCCCACTTCCTTGGATTTTCTATGGATCAAATAAAGACGGAGAATACATTCTTTATGACCCATCAAAGTCTCAAAGATGCAAACAAAATATGCCAGAGTTGAAGGGCCATGTACCCATTTATTCTAGGGATGGTTGGTGTTTATGGCAAATAGGAAGAAAACAGAATTCTTTCTAAACCCGTTTACCCGGGAGTGTATCAACTTACCCAATAATTCACGATTTTTCCCAAGCGAATGCTTAGCTTTCTCAGCTGCTCCTACATCAAGTAGTTGTCTGGTGGTCACCTTCACCCACCAAATAACTTCCAAAAATCGTTTTGTGATCGCTACTTGGCGACCAGCTGGTGAAACCGTGTGGACCTTCCATCGTTTTCGTAACCAATCATCCTGTGGTAAATGGGACAAATTAGTCTACTCGAATGGTGTATTTTATGGTTTCAGTAATTGCGGCTTCGTCGGTGTTTTCGACCCGTGTAACGCAACCTGGAAGGTTCTTCCAGTGAAACCTTGGGACTGTCCTGCCTTTTGTCAGATAGATTTCAGTATGAAAAATGTGTTGATGATGGAGCATAGTGGAAACATTTTTGCTATGTCTAGACAGCTCAACAACAAGTCCCCGGTATTTAAACTAAACCTTGAACGCATGTTATGGGAAGAGAAGAGTGAAGTTTGTGGCTTGTCAGTATTCGCAAGTTACCCTGAATCTGAGAGGAACAGGACATATCCGTCGGCTAATGTGCAACTTAGCCAGTACTGCTCCCTTGTTAATGAGAAAAGCTCTCGTCCACCTACAAGTACATATTTGTCTAAACGTGTTGCTTGGGTAGCTCCACCTGATCACAACAACGTTAATTTTGTTACTTCTTCATATTTTATGGTTTCTTAGATGGACTTTTTTTCATTTTTAGCGTTTTTAGATTTATATATAATCCAGTAGTGCCTACTCTTGACGAGACAAAAGTGTTTTCAGTCTGATCCTAGCTCTGATACGAGTTAATTAGACAAGTGATTTTCAGTTTTGTTGAAGCCGGGTTTCACCCCACTCGAGACCCAGTCCAAGATTTTAGCCAAAACGTAATAGAGAGACCAAATCAAGCATTGCTGATGTCTTGCATTATTGCATTGTTTTATCTACTCTTCTGCATACCTTTTCATCATGTAGGTTAGGTTCTAGCCATGTTTAGGTTGCATTTTGCATACATGAGTCCCTTTTAGGTATTGGAGCATCACATGGAGCTTTTGGAAGCATTTGGGATTCATCAGGGAGCTCAAGGGAGGTAAAAGGAGTGACCTAAGTCCGGAGAGAGCCACAGCGACCTGTCACAGCGGCCCTGCCTAGTCGCTGTGACCCAATGCAACGCAGCGGGTAGATCGCAGCGGGTCTTTCCAGCCGCGCGTCTCTCTTTGGAGCGACCTCCCGCAGCGGGCCTGGGAAGCCGCTGTGACGTCTCCTTCGGCAGCGACTGAAGCCCAGCGGGTGTGCCCGGCCGCGCGTTTTCCTCTGGAGCGGGTAGGCGGAGCGGGTACATGCAGCCGCTCCACTCGAATAACTCGCAGCGGCTGGAGAGGAGCGGGTGTGCTTGGCCGCTGCGCGTCTATTTCTTGTGACGATTTTATGATTTTCTAAGGACCTTTTTGCAATTGTTGTGCACGTTTTTGCACTGGAAAANCACAAAAACTCTTGAGAGAAATTGATCCTTTTGATTTCCATTGTATGTTCTTGTGCTTCTGTTGATTATTCCATCTGTTTCTCTACATGATTAATCTGAAATCCACCATGGGTTTAAGGATAATCATGGAGATTAGTGAGTAATCACCTTTTGGATTCATGGGTTAGGGTGATTTAGGGTGATTAGGTTAGAGCTAAGACGTTTTAAGTGTAGATTTCTCTTGTTCCTTGCATATTAGAGTAGTCTTAAAGCCTCCTTTGAATTGATCACTCAAAGGTTGATCTCTAGACATTTCTCAGCCGACAGGTGTTCGATGAAATGTCTGAGTCAACTCCTTTAAGCTTTTAACAGTCTTTACCAGGGACACTTGTTGTTAAAGGTGT